CCACTCTTCCTACCATACCCTCATACTCCTCCTCTCTCCTCCTTCCTGTTTTCCTTCTCCCTTTTGCAAAAGCACGCAAGATTTTTCAGTTATTAGATAATAGTAATTTGTAAATATAATGATACCAGGATTTTGAAAAAATAATAGATGGAGATGATTTCGCCAAGAGTGCGTCAGCTATTTGGACTGATATGTCATTATGACAGTATGTTCTCTCGCAAAATAGTGGACCTGCCCAATAAACTCTAAAGAAAACTTTCTTCACCTCTTCTTTACCAATCCCAGCCTCCTCTCATTTTCTTCCCCTCATGCCTTTCCTTTTCGCTTCACTACCACCTCTTCCTTCCCACATTCCTCCCTCTCTCGCTCACTGTCACAAAACTCAATAACCTCCCCCCGCCCACCTGAACCCCCTCACCAAACAATCACCGCTGCTTCTGATACAACGCTCTCCCCCACTTTCCCTCGCCCCTGGCTAAGTGGCTCCCAGTGCTTAGGAAATATGAATACGAAGATGGAAAACACTTAAAATCCTATCGTTGGTGAATAGGAGGAAAAAAAGAAACCTGGCAACAAAATATACGATCATAAAGTTGTAAGAAGTGAAAAAGATTTTTAGCATTCTCATTAGGAGAACAAAATGAGAGAACTGTAAACTTAAAAAAAGGAGTTATGCCGAAAACACAAAAGGATATATTTCCTCAAAATAAGATGATGGCAGAGTGCCGAAATGATATCTAAGATGAAGTAATATATGGTATAAACACTGTAAATTTTAAAACAATATACGAGAAACTAAACACTGAAGACGGGACACAACAAGCGTAGCTTTCATCCAATAACTACAAACAGAAAATCACAAACGTATAAACATGCAGTCTCACCTGCAGACACACGCGCGCGCATGCGTATATGTGTGCACGTACTGTATATATACATGCATACACATAAAATATCGCATTATTTGCGGTAGTTATCAGAGAAAATGTGGTTTTAAACGAAAGTTAATATTTTACGACAAAAGATGATCTTTGTTGCTGGCTGAAGGGCCATCATGATGCTATCACTGAGAGCTTCCACAAGACCAAGGAGCAGCTCAGACACTCGATCTGGATCACTTGCAAGATTACTATGTCATTCATGGGTCTCGAAGAGCACTCCTGGACTAACAGGACCAATTCCACATTACAGGAAAAGTTAGTGTACTACAAAGGATACTTCTATAGCGTAAGAATTGTTATAACAGTCCACGAGGATTCTTCCAGGTGGCACAAAATGATCATGACTGGACTGCGACTATTAAACTATGACCATTTCTGTGTCGTGATTTGAGGGCCTCTCCTAGTTATGGCTAGGGCCACTCCCAGGCTAAAAAGAATATTCCTGAACCATTAGAGATACTAGTGGACTACGAAAATCACCTTTAGGATAAAAGAATTATTTCCTCTTGTGTTACAGACATGCCTGATTTCAACAACAAACCTGACCAACATATTCCCATAACCACTGTTTTAAACGTTACATATTTTGTAATACTGACCCTCTTCGCCTGACCTTCGCATGGCAGTCGACCAGAGAATCTCAAATGATTTATTTCGTCACGAAATTCTAAGAACATCGGCGTGATTAAAAGCATGGATTATCAGGATGTCACAGAAGGTACAAGTCACCCAACAACACGCAATGTATTCTAAAATAAATATGAATTCAGAATTACACTTTTCAATTTAAAAAACCTCTTTAGTAATGAAAAGAATTCAATCACAAATTATCTGATGTTGGAATTAAAGACGACATTTCAGTTTTTGAAAATAGATGCACGCAAGTACAAACTTCTTAGTATAAATCTTTCCAATTTGATTTCTGTTAGATCCATGATGATATCTGGGTCATTTATATACATTTTAAATTTTTTTAATTACCCCATCTATATAGTTTTTATATATGGATCTATGTACCTGACTGTTATCATTTGAATTTCGTTTATTTCTTGCTTGCCTTTCTTCAGTGTCCTGAGATCCCATTTTACTTATTGTCTTTTGCATTTAAATCATCAGCCTTTTGTGTTTTCCTTCGCTATTGCTGTATTCTTTTGATACGCCTCGCCTAATATTTCAGGTTTGCAGTCTTCACGCTTCTATGAGTCCTTGCTTTTCAACAATTTTTTTCTTCTTGGATTTTACATATATATATTTTTTTTATGCTCAATTCCCTCTTGTGTATTTAACTTCTGGAAAACTTAAGTCTAACACAATCTCAAGCACAGGATATATACACCGAGAGGTGTATTTCTCTCAGCGTATATATTTTTGTAATTAAACTATTCTTATCTGGTGGAGAAAAGTGTAGTCGTCGATAGGTTTTAAACCTTATTACGGTAACCATTAACCAAAGCCAAGCTCAATCAATACTCTTCTTTTTCTCCATTAAATGCCGTGAAAACCGTCGTTAATTGGCTGAATCCCCGAGGGTAAATAATGATCACCGTGTGAGTTCTTACCTTTTGTTTCTCAGTCAGCTGTCTGATATCGTCAGCGTCGCCCACCACCACGGTCTGCTGACGGGTCATCTGTTCCATCAGCGTCAGCCAGTCACGAATCTATGGAGAAAACAAATATACAATTAGTTGCTAAACCAAAATACTCAAAATGATGATAACCGTGACGGAGATGACGATGACGACTGAGATGATGGTGGAGATAACGATGACCAAGATAATGATAGGAAGAATGATGACGATGAAGGTGGCAGGAATGAAGCAGAGAGACTATCATCCAACCTGAGGTAAGTAATTACGGAAACACTTCGCCAACCAAAATTTCAACAATTAGTTGAAAAAAAAGACTAGTGGGCAAGACGTCTCCATAATGAAGTTACTTCACGTTACATAATCCATAATAAATTTACTTCAAGTTGCATAAGTGTCTCTTTTATACACTTCTTGGTATTATATACCTTAGCGCCCGAAATGCTGTGCTCACTATGGTCTTTCCAAAAATTGAAGTTTTTTTTTTTATATTTATAATTTTATTAAAAATAAAATTATTTGCATTGTTTGTTTGCAACGATAACAAGGACGATGATAATGATGGAAAGATGATCATGTGGATGACAGTAATACTGGGAATGACGATGATAATGGTGATAGTGAGAGGGATGATAATAGCGATGTTAATGCTTTTTATTATGATGCAAGGATGATGAAAATGTTAATACTTATAGTATAAGTGCACTTATAATAATTATATTCACATAAAAGTACACGAAAGGTATAAATGAAACCGTTTAATTATTTCCACAATAAATTGTTTTATGAAAGCAGTGGAGATTTACGAGCAGCATAACGTGCGTTTTGCAAAGTTCATACGCAGGTTGCGAAAATGAAAATACGAAACGACGCAAGATACAAGCCCAACTAAACTTGGCAGCTTGGGGGAAAAATAACCGTTAATTAAGAGAAAAAAAACGTTCACAATAAGAGGAAGCTGGGAAAAATGCAGACTTCATTAAGGCTCTGCAAAGAGGAGAGAACGAGAAAAGAAGATGAAAATTTTCCACCTTACTCGTTAAATAAATGATGATAATAATGTGGAGGACGAGAAAGTGATATATTTTACGCCTAGGAGCGAGTTTATTAGTTATCACTACACATGACCGCCTGCCACGTCGGGGCAGGTAAACAACACGTGGATGCTGCTCCACTTAGGTTGAGCATACTCAAATGTATAAGTGAAAAGGGATGGATTTGAGGACCTGCCAAGTATGGGTGGGTAGGCTTGTTGCACTGTTTCTCTATTCTTATGCTATTATAAGTATGTACTTGCGGAAGTGTGGCAAACAGGTGAGGTGGGCTTGAGCATCCTATGCTGTGTGGGATATGTCGTGTTTTGTGGCGGTGTTGTGAGAGCGGTGGTGGTGTTAGTGGTGATGACTGGGGTCATCTGAACTGATAACCGATATCTGATGATAAATGTGATATGAGCGATGATGATAGTGGTGGTGCTTGTGGTAATGTGATGTTGATGATAACTGCAATGATATGAGAGCTGGTGACAACTGCCCCAACATGATTGTGTTGGTAATAACGATAACGTGGGGGGGGGGCAGAGAAGAGGTGAGCAATTTCTTTGGTTTGAGGGCTTGGCAAAACAGCTGTAACTATGTTCATATTTCATTTCTACTGTCGGAGCAAGTAGCACTGTTGTCATCAATATCCAGAGATGCTATAACGGTAGAGCTTCAACGTGGGTCACCAAAGTTATCAGCAATGTCTAAAGATTCCTCTCTTGTTGAGGAATTAATCGTGAAAAACTTCACTATATATTTAACGATCCAGTAATGTTCACCACACCTCGTCGGTTGTTCACTCTCCACCTCCCACATGAATGAGTGCTTCTCTGAGAGGAACAATATCAGCAACTGCTGGTTAACACAAGCTGACCTAACCCTCCATTCCTCCTGCGACGGGTGTAACGTGGTGGTGAAGAAATTTGCAGCAGCAGCAGCGGTCTACGAGTGTGCGCACCATATTTACATAGCTCCGGGTGGGCGCCCTCAATAATCTGGTGCTGAGCCCTCCACATTACCATATCTATTCCTGGAGGTGAGAGGCTACCACCCTTACACACCCTGGTAATACCACTACTCATCCAGGTAATAGGTAAAAGGATAAGTGCTTCCCAGTGCCACAATTACCTAGGTCACTCAGTGATACTCCGCGTATGCTCCTCGGATCGAGAGTAGCACCCCAAGTTACCATTTAGTATCCACTGCGGTCAAACATTGAAATCCACCAAGGTGTGGCATCAGGAGACTCAAAGGTGTCAACACTCTTGGGTATCGTAGGCGATCTGAGAGTCTGCGCGCGCACACATACAGGGCGGTCAAAATGACCTTGACGAAGGTGTGGTGAAGGAAGGCTCCATACGTAGTTATAAGAATACACACGATAGAGCCCACGAGGCTGGAAGAGGGGATGCAAATCTGGCAAGAGGCAAGATGACAGGCAGAGCCAGGGAACTGATACTCGACCCCTGCAACCACATCTAGGTAAGTGTGCAATGCAAATTTGTAATCCTGTATAAGTGAGTGAAACCACATTACTCTTACACTGGTGTGTAAGTGGTAACAGAGTGGTGGTAGTGATGGTAGTGTTATATTTGAATAATTGGAAGCAGCATAGTGAGGATACCTGTGAGTCAACACTGAAACACTTCCAGCAGATCTGGAGTTTACTGACGCAGTGTTCTATAACACACCGGGTTACCACTTTCTGTATAATGTAATATCAAAAATACTTCTGCCTACTACTGAATTAATCAAGATGAATATATCCATTCTTTGCGTCAGGTGGGAGACAGCCAGTGTTTTAGTAATATTAATACTATTGCTACTACTACTAATAGTAATAATTTCCATAAATATTAACATTTATGCTTGGCAGATTTGGAGTTTCTCACATTTTTATTTTGTCAAGGATTGTCTAATAACCCGGCGAAGGAATCGAACTCTGGTTCTTTTAGTTGTTCTCATTGAGCAGTGTGGTGTTTGTTGTAGTGGTGGGTGATGGTGTTGGTGTTGGTGGTGGGTGGTGGTGGAGAAGTCTGGCGGGGCGGTGATAAGCCTCAGCATGACACCCACTAACACTGAACTGACACACTCCGACACACTCATTAGTCCTTCCCGCCCTCACACCATCCATCCTCCCTCACACCATCCACCCTCCATCACAAATCCTTTTACACCATCCACCTTCCATCACAACATCCACCCTCCATCACAAATCCCCCAGACGATCCCTCCACCTTGCCTCACGTGTATCTCTCCCCTGACGTTGGGTCACATTACAGTGAGGGGGATGAGGGAGAAAGGAAGGCGGTATGAAATTAGGAGAATCTAGCTCTAGCCTGGAGTTTACCTGGAGAGAGTTCCGGGGGTCAACGCCCCCGCGGCCCGGTCTGTGACCAGGCCTCCTGGTGGATCAGAGCCTGATCAACCAGGCTGTTAAGAACATAAGAACATAAGAACGAAGGAACACTGCAGAAGGCCTACTGGCCCATGCGAGGCAGGTCCAAGTCTCCTACCGGCTTAAGCCAATGCACCCAACCTAGTCAGGTCAGGTCACATTGACTTAAGGGAGGAACACGGCAACCGACCTGTAGCACAAGCTATCAGGTCTAACTCACACCCACCCAATCTACTCATGTATTTATCCAACCTATTTTTAAAGCTACACAACGTTCTGCTGGCCTCTATAACGGTACTTGGGAGTTTGTTCCACTCATCCACAACTCTATTACCAAACCAGTACTTTCCTATATCCCTCCTGAATCTGAATTTTTCCAACTTAAAACCATTGCTGCGAGTCCTGTCTAGGCTAGATATTTTCAGCACACTATTTACATCCCCTTTATTTATTCCTGTCTTCCATTTATACACCTCAATCATATCCCCCCTAATTCTACGTCTTTCTAGAGAGTGCAGTTTCAGGGCCCTTAGTCTATCCTCATAGGAAGGTTTCTGATACATGGGATCATCTTTGTCATCCTCCTTTGTACATTTTCCAGAGAATTTTATATCCATTCTGTAATACGGTGACCAAAACTGTGCAGCATAATCTAAATGAGGCTAACCAAGGATGTATAGAGTTGAAGAACAACCTGAGGACTCCTATTATTTATGCTTCTTGATATGAAGCCAAGGATTCTATTAGCTTTATTGCGAACACTTATGCACTGTTGTCTTGGTTTCAGATTACTGCTAACCAGAACTCCTAAATCTTTTTCGCAATCCGTAATATTAAGATCTACATTATTTAGTTTATATGTGCATGGTTATTGTCCTGTCCAACATTTAGAACTTTGCATTTGTCTATATTAAACTGCATCTGCCACTTCTCCGACCACTGCATCAGTCTATTCAAATCTTCCTGGAGTGCTCGAATGTCCTCGTCAGAATGAATTCGACGGCCTATTTTGGTGTCATCGGCAAACTTGCCGATGTCGCTCTTTATGCCCTCATCTATGTCGTTTATGTAGATTGTGAACAGCAGGGGCCCAACACTGACCCCTGTGGAACACCGCTCGTGACACTTCCCCACTCTGATTTCTCCCATTTATGCAAACTCTCTGCTGCCTATTTGTCAACCATGCCTCTATCCAGAAAAAATTTCTCCTCCTATTCCATGTGCTTTAATTTTCCTCAATAGTCTCTGATGTGGGACCCTGTCAAAAGCCTTACTGAAGTCCATATACACAATATCATATTCATTACCATGATCTACCTCCTCAAATACCTTAGTGAAAAAAGTTAATAAATTCGTAAGGCAGGAACGCCCCTTTGTAAAACCATGCTGAGATTCGTTGATTAATTTATGCTTTTCAAGGTGGCTACGAACTGCCTCGGCAATTATTGATTCCATAAATTTTCCCACTATGGAGGTTAGGCTTATTGGTCTATAGTTCGAAGCTAAGGACCTGTCACCTGTTTTGAAATAGGTATCACATTTGCCATTTTCCACTTATCTGGCACCATGCCAGTTTGTAGTGATATGTTGAAAAGATTAGCCAAAGTGTGCTAAGCTCCTCTTTACATTCCTTT